AAAAAGAAAGAAAAACAACCCCAAATGCAGGAGAACTTTTAGTTCTTGCTAAAAAAGAAAAATGTGAGCTCTAAATCCAGCAATACAAGAAAAGAGGCATCTGTGACTGCATATAAAGCTGAGACTCCTTTGCTTGAACAAAATCACTCGGTCTACAGTACTTAAAATAAACAAAGCTTAAAACACTTAGCCACACACACATGTTTTCTGCCACATGCTGCCTGAAGAAAATAGCTATGCAACGTGCATGCCCCAGTTTAAAGCAAGCCTTGAATTCCACACAAAAGTCTCCTCCTCTACCTTTCTCTGTTTCTACACAGAAATACATTTCCCTTTAAGTGAGAAAAAGTATGTATGTTTAAAAGGACAGTCCAGGCCCTTTATAAAAGCACTTACTTTGAAAGAACAGGACAGATTATATATTCAAAACAAGAGCACCTTCTTAAAGAGCTGGTTCAGAAGTTGTTCAATGGCCATGGCCTTGATTTGTGCTCGCAGCTCTGGTCCTGCTGGGCCTGGTTAACAGAAAGGCTGGCAGCCTGCATGGCATGGTCCTCCAGGGGTGCTGCGTCAGGATGACGCTCTGGAACTGTTACTGGGACAGGCTGTGAGCAAGTCAGCAGGACAGTTTTATTTCTGTGCTGAGATTGCTGCRTCCTGATGGGAAAATATTGGTGGCAGAATTATCCCCGAAAATCAAGCAGAGGATCCCCAGATGATCTGAGTTCTGGGGAGGTAAAGAGTATGTGTGGGGGGACAGCACTGGGCAGAGGGCAAGCAGCCCCCAAAAGAAACTCACCTAAGGTTCCTCGTCTCCTTGGGTGGCTCCTTGACCCTGCCAAGGGCATGACTCAGCTCACCCACAGCAGTGCTGGACCACACTATTTATCTCCCCTAGTCTGGGAAAGCTGAGCTCTAGGCAGGGAATGGAGAAGAGTAGAGGGGAGGGCATGGTGATCCCTATCTTAGTGGGGTCTAGAGTTGTGGCTTCCCATGATGGGACATTTATCCCTATCTTCAGTAGTTATTGCAATACAGTGGTCCAGAGCCTGGGAACTTTAATACTATGATGAGGAGGAGGGAAATGGCAGGAGGAAGGGGGGAGAGAAGTCAGCTTTTCCAACCATGTCCCAGATCAGTAAGTATGGAGAACTAATAAGGTGCTGAGTTTCTATTGATGTCCAGGATGACAAATTGTGGGATTAGACTAAGGGTTTCTGATAATTTAGTCAATTTATGCTTGGATGACTTTATAGTTTAAAAGCAAGACAAAGTTACAGTAGATGTTTAGGGAGGTGGCTGTGGCCTCCAGATGCCCAAGGATCCATACTTCTGCCTACTAATACCTTCTAGATGAAGGTCATGGTAGGGTGGGATAAGATGGAGGAAATCATGGGATCCTTTTCAGTTAGGAAGATTTTAAAAAGAACACAAACGTCATGCAGCCATAGACTTCCTGTATTGTGTGGTTTGGGTTCAAGGAGAATGAATTGGCAAGGAACATCCCACGTCAGGAGAGGGAGCATGTAACCATAGCAAATGTCAAGTGGTGGGAGCCTGGGGCTCTACCTGAACCTCACACCACCTCTGAGTGATCTTAAATGATGCATAATATCTCTGGATGTCACTTTGTACATGAGAAGTTTTTACCATCTCTCAAATTTTTTTAAAAAAAACATATTTTTAGTTGTAGGTGGACATAATACCTTTATTTTATTTATTTTTATGTGGTGCTGAGGCTTGAACCCAGTGCCTCACACTCGCTAGGCAAGAGCTCTATCATTAAGCTACAACTCCAGCCCCGTCCCTCAAATCTTAATGCCCCCTTTTTTTCCAACCTAGCATATGCCCTAATATAGAAAGAAATGAGTCATTTTTTTCTCTCCCTATCGTTTCCATTCCTATCACTTCATCCCTCTACTTAGGCAATAAATTCTAATCTTGGTGTTAACCTTCCTACTCCAGCTGTTCTATCCAAATTCTGAAAAGCCCAGAAAAAAATATTTTCTCGTCTTTGGAGAGTAGGGAAGACATGGAGATGAGATGCTCAGACCTCCTTTAGGAAAAGACATTGCCCAGCTCCTAGGGGGCTGTCAGCTGAGAGCTGCCAATTCCTTCAGGTCCACCTCAGTGTTTCTGGGCAGTCAGCCTTTGCTCCTGAGGTCCCATGGGGCTGCAGCCCTGTACACAAACCTCCCTCCCCACCTTCTCTTTCACAGAATTACTTTTCTCTTGCAAAACCAGCATCTATTTCCCAGAGGACCCAACACAGAGATCCTAGTCATTGTGATGCATGAGCCCAATACTTTGTTTTGTTTTCCTGAAAAGGGCCTTTGACAGGCTTCAGAAAACCATCTTTGAGCAGTGAAATCCTTTCCTTTGTAGCATAAAAAATCYACAGCACAAATTTCTTCTTTATTCCCTTATTCACAGACACATAGAGGCTTCATTCCCATCACTTTTAGGCAGTAGTTTTCAACTGAATTCATTTGAGAATCACCCTAGAGACTTTTAAATGTGTGAATGCCCAAGCTCCACATGCAAAGCTCTATTTCTCATGCACCTCTGGTTGAGAGCCAATGGTGGTAGCATGAAATTGTTCCTTGTTTAGACATCTTTCAGAGATGAGCATCCATCCTGCTGAGGATCATTCCAGAGGTTGAAAAGTGTGCATACATTAAACAACCAATATTGAATGACTCCTAGATCTTTTCCAGGTATTTTTATCAGTCCAGTAGTAATGTTGCAAACCAATGGAGTGTGATGAATTTTCTTAGAAAGTATTAGGAAGGTGTAGGAAAACCTGGGCTCATTGTCAGTTTTCATGATATAAGCTAAAACACAAAAATTATGGGGCCATAGATTTCTATTATCATGTAGGGCTTGGGGCAAGGAGTTGGGTGTTGACTTTCCTAYTAGAATTTAGGTGGCTATATCCTAACCTTTCAGGTTTCTAGGGGGCTGTGGTTATGTTCATGTTTCACAGATTAAGTCCTCACAAGGACTTAGTTTGGGGGCATCAGTTGAGATTGTTCTTCTGTCTCATGTTCCTTGGTGAGAGGTCACATCAATGTCAATCATTTTTGTTTTCTGGAGAGCTGAATAAAATTGCCTGTGTTAACCTTTATGTACAAATAGTTTGCTGTTGGGTTCCAAGAGTTTTATTTCAAGGCAAAATTTACACATGAAGAAGCACATGGTGAGATTCTCTAGGACTGAGAAGCCCTAACTTCCCTAAGACAGTAGTCCTGGAAAGTAAAAAGGGGGGTACTCTCAAGCAGCTACTTGGTATTCAAAACGAATATTTCTTGCTGGATTTTTACAGCCAAAGGAAAAAAATGTAGAACTCCATGGAGGAATGTGAAGAGATTAAAGTGCTATGCACTGGGGGAGACTTTTAGGAAAATCAAATGGGAAGATGGGGAAGCAGGAGCTGAATGAGCTGATCAAAATAGATTCTCTGCTGAGCTCTGACATGTGACAATGCCACAGAGGAGTTGGCTCCTAAGAGCACAGCAAATGGGGTTAAGAGGGATTTAAAGTTACTGTGCTAAGCCTATCCCTGGACATTTGGCAGTACAGGTCTAGGTACTAATTTAATGCTTCTTGAACCTGACGTATGCAATGCTCACTCTCTAGGTACATTAGTCAGAACTTACTGATGAAAAAAGTTGCCCTCTGTGTTAGTTGACAGCTGTTCCCTGTGGCAGAAGAGAAGTGGACTGTGTGAGTGTGGCCTGAGCTGCCCAGTATCAAGACCCTGCTGAACATCACTGGGCTTCCTTTTTTTTTTTTTYCCCCTGGGGTGTTGTTTTAAGGATTAGTTAAATATGTATGTGGATATGTTTAGTAAATTTGCAAAGTGCTATGCAAATGTGGACTTTTTTGTTGGGAGTGGGTACCAGGGATTGAACTGGGGGGCACTTGACCACTGAGCCACATCCCCTGTCCCACCCCCTTTTGTATTTTTATTTAGAGACAGGGTCTCACTGAGTTGCTTAGTGCCTTGCTTTTGCTGAGGCTAGCTTTGAACTCATGATCCTCTTGTCTCAGCCTCCAGAGCTGCTGGGATTAGAGGCTATTTCCACCACACCTGGCAAACATGGGCTTTTATTTATTTTTTAAAATAAAGCCTCACTTAAGGATTGACTGAGGCAATACTACCAGAGCAGTACAAGGGCCCAGTGGATGAGGATTCCAGTTCAGACCCACGTGTCACAGTTGAATYCCTGCTCTTCACTTACCAATTGGGAAACTTTGGAGCAGCAACTCCAGCCTCGGCAGCCCWCTCCCTCAAACATCAAATGGGAAAAAATCATCATACCTACCTCTCAGGAGAGCAGTTTGCAGGGAAGCATGCAGCGCAAACTGTGATGCACAGCTCTGGGTAAATGTGAGCTGTGACTCTTGTAAACCAGGGCTGTCACCACAGGTAAGACTGAGACACAGGAAGGAGAGGACTTGGTGGACAGTTTGAGGGGAGCTGAGGGAAAGCATTTTTCAGGAAAAGACACCCAGAAAAAAAGGAGGCAACGGGCCCATTCTACTGGTCCAGCAACCTCCTGAAGTAACTGACTCTGAATTAGGAGGATAAAATTGCAGCTTTTTTCTGGAGGTGCATTTCTGTGTGTCCATATTAACTGTAAGGTAACCCTAACCCATACCCCAGTGGAGCTCTCAGCTGTAATTTTGCAAGGATCATCATAAAGCATTATTTTTAGGTACAAATTCACTCGTGACAATGGTACGTTCACATCACACAGGAGGGACTTGACATGCAAAGAACATCATATCTCAGAATATAGCACAGTTGAAATCTGGGGGGATGCAGGTGGCAGGAGGGGTGGGTTATGGATTTCAAATGTCTGGGTTGCACTTGAGGCAATTCTGGATTGGGCAACCCCAATAGGCTCTGTTCTGAGGCACATTCCATTATGAGTGGAGTGGGTTTATAATGGAATGACATGGATGGTTTCTTATAATCAGAAAAGCACACTGACCTTCACACTACACAGGTGCAGCAGCATAATGACCCACCACGTGTACGCGCATCAATTCCTGGGGAAGAGTCCAACGAGGTTAACTTAGCGTGTATCCCAAGCAAAGAACATCAGTGACATTACCCGCATAAAGAACATTACTCCCCCCACCCCCACCAAGACAACTTGGCTTGGGCAACACAGGAATATAAAAGGAAAAAGTCACCCAAGAATCATACTCATTTTGACAAAATATAGCAAACAGTATTGTTCTATGCCATAAATAATTTGCTTTGGGTTTTAAATTTTAACTTTAGGAGTAAGAATCATGGGCATAGAAAATGTTTGTTTTCCTTTTCAATGAACAAGTATTGAGTGTGTATGGGGGGCTTTGGAGGAAGGGAAGTTCTATTATATTCCACACCCTCTGCAAAGCTTCATGAGGCCCCCTTATCACAAAGGAACCAAATCTTTTAAATTAAACTGCCAAAAGATCACTAACCCTATCTCAACAGCTTCATTCACGCAGGCACTTACTCAGACATGAAAGATTCAAGAGGGAGTACCATCTCCTCACATGAATTGTCCAGTAGAGCTCCTACTATCCCCAAAGTCCATCAGCTTGGCATCATGATCACACCATAGGCACTTTAGCAACCATGCCAAAAATTAGCATGAAAGACTTGAACAGAGAGATGCCAGGCAGGCACAGGAATATGGCTGATGATATCTATCTATGATGGTCTTTTTCATCTAGGTATCATTTTGGGTCATAAGTCTTTATTCTCATGTCATAACTTCATCTTCTTCTGAAGACAAARTTGCCATGAAAGTAGTCAATATGGTCTTATTCCAGAAAAAGCAGTATATGATGTCAGCATTCTAAAACCCCCGTGAAACCCGAAGCTTGCTGACAAATGAGTTTGTGTAAGGAACGAGTAGCAAGCTTGCATTCTGGGTGCACAGATTATGTTCTCAACTCCTGATCTGAGCAGACTTGAGAAGAGGAAAGAGAGAGAGAGAGAATTCAGTGCCTATGTAAAAGCTCTGTTTTGTGCTCAATACTATGCTGGGCTCTACAGATATCTTGGTAGTAATGAACACTCTACAACCTTCCTTCCTCTACCATCTTGCCCAATCATGGCAACTGCTTCTTAGGTGGTCTCAGGCCTGCTCCATTTGAAGCCTCCTTTTCACTCACCTTTCCCAGGTTGGAGGCCTCCAGATCTTCAAAAATTCACACTAGAGACCCATATTCTGGCAATGGCCTCCATTACTATCTGGACACTGGTAACTCCCAAATATCTGTGGCAGCTCAGGGTGCTCATCTGAAGTCCAAACCCAACACCCGCTGACTAGACATCTCACACCCACCCCAAACTAACTCAGGTTCTTTATACTCACACCAGATCCATTCCTCCTAAAGATATAGTAACGGTTCCTCTGCCCACTCAGAATTCCCTGTCAGGAACAAGGAAAGCCACTTCCAACTCCTCTTTCCCCGCCAGACCATCCTTTTTGTCCAACCGAACACTGAGTTCACCTGCCACTACCTCTCAATCATCCTAGAATTCATCTGCTTCTGACCATTTCTGCCTTCTCCACCATGATCCAAGCCTCTGTCTCCTACTTAATTCCAATAATTTCTAACTGGTTTCCTCCATCTCCATTTTTGCCCTAAATACATTTTCTACAATGGACAAAATATTTTATTAAAAAAAAACCTGGTTGTGGCACTTCCTTGCTAATGGCTTCTTACTTCCTTTATGCTGAAGTTCCAAATGCCGAATTGAGACTATTTTATACAAAATGCAAAATGGATCTCCTCCCCAGGCTCACGGTGGCTTCTCTCCTTCCTAATCATGATGTCTTTGCTGGGAATCTTACAGTGTCCAGAGGCACTAGCTTCTCTCTCCACCTTACAGCAGCTCCTCCCTCTGCCATAATCTTTAGTCCTCAGCCTCAGCTGGAGCCTCCATCCCATGACAGAGAACCCGGAAGAGTAGCCTAGAGCTACTCTGACAGTTTTAAAACTAATTTTAATGAACTATTTATATAACTATTTGTTTAATGTCTGTCTCACCAAGTAGAGTCAGAATTCTCTGGGTCTGGGGCTATTGTCCTCAGTACTTAGCATAGAGCCTGTTACAAGGGCATGCTCACTATGTCCATGAGAATGTGATGAACAATAAATGACCCATCTAACCTCGAGGAAGTCATAGTCCAGATTTTAGAATATATAAAAGAAGCCTTTTGTGCATTTGTCCTGAGCTTAGTTATCCACCTCCACCCCAACAACACACACCCCCACACTAGGAAAGTAGTGGAAGAAGTAGAAAAAAGAAAAGACCATTCAAATTATATCTTATCTATTCAGCACTTAATACTGGGCATACTGTATACTGCTGTATTTTGCTTTACAGTTTGCTTTTTTTTTTTAAACACAGTTTATAATTGTTTAGCTGTAAAACCCAACTCTGGAAAAGAAAAATAAGGGTACAATGGAGAAAGTAAACAGTAACTTAAAAAAAATCCAGCTCTAGATCCTGAAATCTCACCCCACCCCACCAAGCAGGACCCAGGTGGGATCTTCTTTTAGCAGGAATAAACTAGAGCCCAAGTAAATTAAGAATCAGGGGCTGGGGATGTGGTTCAAGCGGTAGCGCGCTCGCCTGGCATGCGTGCGGCCCGGAGTTACATCCTCAGCATCACATACAAACAAAGATGTTGCGTCCGCCAAAAACTAAAAAAAACTAAAATGAAATATTAAAATTCTCTCTCTCTCTCTCTCAAAAAAAAAAATCAGATGGGGATTAAGATGGGGATCAGGTGAGTGCTTCTGCTCCCAGCCTTCAGCCCACCTTTGGCTTCACAAATTTGGGAAGCTCTTCATTTCTGCCACATTGGGAGCCAGCCTGATTGCAGTGATTGAGAGCAAAGATTCAGAAACCCCAAGAAACTACAAGTGACAATATTAGGGATCAACAAAGCTTTACTTTGTAAATAAATTAAGAGTAGACAGCTCTTTTGAACTCATATGTGATTTATATGCAACTTTATTTGGTTTCTCTTCTAGACTATGTAGCTCTGACCCTTGGGGAAACACTTTCGGAGCCACTGCACAGAGCAGCAGGAAAGTCAAGTGGAATGGATGGCTTTAAATACCCTTGCAGCGTAGTGACAGGAGAGTAGGGGCAGCCTCTCAAGATTCGGTCCTTCACAAAGATGCTCCTTTGTAGGTCCTGGCTGCTGCATCCCTGTTTCAGTCCTGAATTCCTGGCATCTTTTCAATCATTAGTGATCAGTGTTGACAGGTGGCAATACCATCTCTGTGGCCTGGTGCTCTGCCACCACTGCCAGGTCACCTGAGCAGAGGTGTGATTTTAAAAAATTGAATAAAGCAGATATTCCTCTGGGCCATATTGATCTGAACATACCCAAATGAACTAAAGTTAGAAAACAAATAATAAAAAGCATAAATTAGGGGCTAGAGTTGTGGCTCAGCGATAGAGTGCTTGTCTAGCATGTGCAGGGTGCTGGGTTTGATCCTCAGAGCCACTTAAAAATAAATAAAATAAAGGCATTGTGTCCAACTGCAATTAAAAATATGTATATTTTTAAAAAGCATAAATTAGCCTTCAGACCACATGGTGACTTATCATGCAACACATATATTTTACTGATTAGATTCCCTTGCCTTTTGTTCAACCTTCCATCTGTGGATGGAAGTGGATGACTTTTGAGGAAGAAATCAATATCACTCATGGATAGGGAATATATTAAAGAAACGTTTTCTGAATCATAGTAACTTCCTTTTTTTATGATGCAAAGACCCTGGCCCGGTGGTCTCTCTCTGATAAATATTTGCTGATGGACTGACCGACCCGGTACATGAAAGAAGGAATAACCTGAATGTTCATTCCCACATGTGGGTCATTCCAAATGTACTGCATGAGATCTCCTTGGAAGGACAAATTAAGCTAAGTTGAATGTGTTTTGAATAGGGATTAAATTTTTCATCTCAGAGGTGGGAAAATTACATTTTCTAATTTCATAAAAGTATTCCAAGAACTCTTTACATGTGTAAATCTGTTTCGATAGGTCTTCTCCCAGGTATTGGTGTCACAGCTAGTATTCATAATGTGACAGCCAGTATAGACAGCATGTTGAAAAAACCTAATCTGGTTTCTCAGAGGAAGTTCTTGTTTTTCTGTTTTCAACTTTGTGACTGGGAACCCACCGGCATTCCTTGGGATATGACTGGTTTGATTTTGTCTCCATCTATTTTCTTTCAATCCCTCGTCTTGATTCCATCTGATTTTTTCAAAGATATCAAATTTACTATCATATAACTTTATGGTATTATTGGCATTAAGTTCATTTTTTTGATAGTCTCTTCATAGTCCAATAGGATGCTATTGGGATAGAATCTTTTTCTGTCAATAGTGACTTATAATGCCTCCCAAATTCTCAGACCCCTTCAATTCTGTACTTTAACTTAAATTTGAAGAAAAAAAAAATGCTTGGGCAAATTGGCCAGGCTTTATTTAARGGGAATTGACTTAGAGGCATAGCTATGGGCTATTCTTTTAAAACATATTTATTTTATTTGTATATTTAAAATTTTCATTTATTTATCTATTTCTTCAGCATGTCTATGACTAAACAATGACACACAGATAGAAAACAAAGATGGCTTGACTTTAAGCTTCCAAGCTCCCTAAACTTCCCATTTGATATTTTTTCTCAACTTGTTGGACCTATCCTGGCTCTAAGAAAGACCAAGTCTGAAGATGCCCAGTTTGTTCTTTGAGGGACAGTTCCAACTCCATGATCAGACAACATCAATATGACCACCTGTGTCTGCAGCCTCCTCCTCCCCAGCATCTTAATCCTCAGACTCCAATTCTGAGCAGCAGAGGACCAAAGCCAGAATGAAGAGTGACACTGAGCCAAGGTGGAGAGGCCTTGGTCAGGCAGCTCCCTGGCGGCCCTCATCCTGGGGCCGGTGTTGCAGCCAGGAGTAAGAACCCCTCTGTACTACTTCCATGCCTCCCAAGGCTGTGATTTATTGCCTCT